ACGGTCCGTACACGAAGCCCTATAGTACACGACATGCCGGGTAATGCGGATTGGCGCCGGCGCCCATCGCGCAGGTGTCATTTCGATAATTGGAAATTCAATAGTAAAATGCCGCCCACTATAGCAACTTGATCGTGAAGTAAAGGATGACGCGTTGATGACGTCACGCTGTGAGCCAAGAGAAAGCCAGCTGTGGCAAAGCAGATGTGACTATATACAAAATACACTTCTATAATGAATACTTCATTAAGGGGGTTCGAAAATAGTGCGTTTGCATCTGTGTTAGTGTTGCTCTTTTTTCCCCATTCAACGGCGTAGCAAAGCTTTCACGAAATCAGGGCGAATAAAAATAAACCAGCCTAATCGCCGTGGGCCTGGTCGATAAAAGCTTTGTCCGCGGTATTCCGCCGGTGGATGCAACTCGACATGGGCAACAAGCGGCCGAACGGCGCGACAAGGCCCCAGCGGTTCGTGGGGTTCGATAACCATGGCAAAAAATGGGGTCTAGATCTAGTAGGTCGACATGATGAGGCTACAGGCCAGGCGCGCCGGGCCCGTGTAATGAATGAACTATGGTCTGGCCCGGCTTCGATCCAATAGCAAGCCTTTTCATCAAGCCCGAGGCACCAATCGTTATCCACGGGTGCGAAGCAAACCTACTTGTTCCTCCTCTTTTCTCTGTGTGTCGGGGAGAATCAGGTGTCTCGCTCGTGTGTCTCGCTCGGCTATTATCCCCCGAGTTTTGTGAAACTCCCGCATAGATGCTGTAAAGTGCACGAAGCAACTAAGGCCGGTCGGTATCAGTCTTCGATTCTTATCGAGGTTGTGATGGCTTTTGCTAGGAGGCACGAAGCGGAAAACTCACACAAAATTATTAATCAAGATATTAATGAGGATTCGTTTGAACACGATGATTTTGATCATTAACAGTGTCGGGCTTTTCAGCTTTTACCGCAGTATAGATCTACATAATCATAGAATGTGTTCCAACAACATTATTGTTGACTTCACAGACGCTTAACGATTTCTGACAATGGAACCGAACGTCTCTAAGCAGATTTTCAACGTATTTCAAGGCACGGGAACCATCATCTCCTTTAATGATAAGTTCGTTTTGAAATCGAAATCGGTTACGTGCGGCCCTTTTGGTACAGAAATGTAAATCGAATCTTGGAGAAATATAAATCAGTGCAGCAAAGAGCGCAGTGAACTTGAAGTTTTGTCCCAAATGAAAATACATCAACGCCAAACTGCTAGAAATGTTCCTATCGTATGTATCTCCTTCCAGTGTTTTTCATCCCACAGTGCAATGTTAAAACTAGGTACCTATAGCTCTGGTATCTCTAAACAAGGAACCAGTGGCGTAACTAGGGGGTGGGGGCAAGGGGCCTGCTGGAGGACTGCGAGGGAGGCAAGAATGAGTTAGCCTTGTTTTTGTTACTTTGTTGTTTCGTGTAATTTCAATAAATTTGCTTTCAAGAAAACGAACCAGACCTCGAGATGCCTGTCACAGAGCCAAGAGAGTTTGACCGCTTCAATGACTACCTTGGCCTAGCCCGTCTCATCACTGAGACCAGCGTAGCCTCTCTAAGGCCTACTTTTGTCTCTGAGTCATCTGAAGATCAGTTCTTCGGACTCCAGACGTCAGACATGGAGCTGGGCCAGGAGACGAGCAGTATCGACAACGGGCCCACCCCCGGCTTCCCTCCCTTCACCGTGGACGAGCTGTCGCGTGAGACTGGTCAATCTTGTCGCTGGGCGGTTCCCAAGCTAACCTGCCAGTGGTGTGTCTTCTGTGAGAGGAACGGCGACAGCGAGGTGGTGCCTACATCTCACAAGTCCTCAAGAGCAGCCTTGGCAAGGTGGTCTGTCCTAGGCTAAGGGCCTACATCTGTCCACTGCGTGGAACCAGCGGAGATGAGGCACATACCATCAAGTACTGTCCAACCAACCTAGGCAGCTTGCGGCCAGCTCCGTCCATGTCACGACCCATTATAACTTGGCATGCACGTCAGCGGCAGACTTTTTCCGTCAGCAGACTGAAAAGTTTCTGTATATGACTAGAATAGAACCTAAAGCAAATCGGGTATTTTCAGAGCCAATACATTTTACAAAAGAGATCAAATTTGTTCTTTTAAGATAATATTAAGTCGTCTCCAGGTCGTGTCAACGCAGCTTTTAGTCACCTTAGGAGTCACCAAGCGCGTGATATAAGTTGGACGGAAGCGTGACGAAATATTGTCTCTGCCCATACTTTCAAACCCTTTTTTCAGGCCTTGATTTACATCCAACTATAGTTATGTGTCGTTATCCTCATGGACGAACTGTGCTCCAAAGTGCATCCAGACAGGCTAAACCAGGTTGTACTTTACATCACCCATCCCCTGAGCAATTATGCACGTCACGTTGGATCGGAAAACGTCCTGGGTTACACAGGGTGTTCCTCTGTCAAAATCCTAGAGTTTATAGGGATTTGTTGTGAACATTTTGTTAACATCAACATATAGGTTTTCGAATGCATATTGGATACACCTATAGGCCTATAGTTTACATGTGGGCAATTCCACGGTTACTCACGTTACATTTTTGATATACTTTTGAGTTTCCTTGGGCTGTAATTATCACTGCTATCCCCATGGTAGATAGAGTAGACCTAGACCTACCTAAGCACCAAAGATGACATCCAGAAAAATGTGTTATGTATGACAAACAAGACGCACAAAATCGGTTACTCACATTACATTTTCGTAACGTGAGTAACCGTGGAATTGCCCATGTATTTATCGTGGGCACGACACGATAGTGTGTAGGGCAACCCGGGTAGAGAGGTTGTGAGAAATACGTTGTTCGTTGTGAACAAAGGTAACTTCATTATGAATGGACAATCTCGTCGTTACCAACTCGAGAAAGAACTGCGACATATTTTTTTTCACGGTCACCGTTTGGAGGACAAAATATATTTGGTCAGTAATTTTACTCTAAATTTGTTTCACTGCCCTACAAATTGTTACAATGAGAGCTCTTCAGTCGCCCTTCCAAGGCTAGACTACTTTAATCAGAGTCGTCCTCGTGTTGTACCTCACGTGATGAGCACTCAGTCATTGATGCCAAGATTAACAATGTCTTCTTTTTTGTGTGTGGAAGCCAAATGTCCTATGTCCAACTGAAGAAGGGAAAGCACTGGAGAAAAAAAACCAAGACTACCTAAAGTTGTTTGAACGATCGCACTTTAAGGGCATACATTTTTCTTTAGATGGGCTGGTAAACAAGTACCAAGTGGTACAACCCACGGCGGCGGGTCCACGAACCTAACCGCGAATTTTGCAACGCAAAGGGTCGTGATCTATTATGCAACTTAGACGCATGCACATCAGTGTCACAAAGCTGTAGGTATTCCATAGAAACTCACTGGCAAAGCTGCGATACACGCGTGGCACGGAACAGTATAATACACCCCTAGTAAACTGTCCACCAACCAACCAACCCACCCGCCCACCAACCCACCCACCCACCAACCAACAAGCAGCTCAAGCCCACGGCGCGTTTCACACCGCCGTGGGGAAAAAATGATCGGAAACGAGACCTGCCGATAGTACCTATGAAAGGTATAACATATGTACAAATGTATATGAAAGGGTGACAAGAAAGAATGAAGGGAAACAATTGTTTTACTATGAACAGTGCCACCTGAGTCACAAGGTATCCAACCCTTATCACCAACTTAGCGAATTACTGTTTCCCGCCTGCGGTGTTTTCATTTGCAGCGCACATCGTCAATGGATCATGATTATTCATCTTGCCATGTTTATTCATAAGAAAATAACAATGACGTCACACCATTGCTATCAGTCAGTCATGCGTGTACATTGAAGCGTTTCAAAGAACGGCTTTCGTCCAGCTTCCACAGTGGCAGTAGTGGATAGATTAGTGGAACGAACTATGGATCGCAAGATCTATGGTTCGAACCCATGTCCATTTTCATCAAATATTTTTGTTAGTTGGGATAAGTTAAATTGAAGGGAAACTGTCTTCCATCCACACAGCGTGATAAATATTTATGTTACAGGGTGCATGATGTGATTGGTTAAAATACGATGTATACTGCAGAAACAAAATACGCTTCCGGCGGCCTCCCCCTAAAATGACAATTGGGGACAGGGAACCAGACTACTTTTCGAATTTACCGCCGATATTCGTCTAAATGTCCCAGGATTGCACGTGCCAGATATTTTTATGGTAAATTTTGTTGGCTTTTTGGGTTCTTTTAAAAAAAAATGGATCGGATTAATTTTTCACGGTTTTTCCGCCTCTCGCAGGAAATGCAACGACTCCAAATATAGAGTTTCACAAAAAGCGTAACGCGCGTAACGTGGAGACATCAACCCCAGGGAAATCGCGCAGAGCGAGTCCTTGCCACCGAGTAATAAGCCAGTTACCTAAATAGCGAATGCCACGTATAAAAGGTTACTTCTCGAAGTATGAACAGAATTGGCGTATACAAATTTAAGGTGACACCTAGGTAAAGGTTGTAGTATAAATGAGGGACGACGATTCAGTCGCCGTTAATTCGTCAAGAAGATATAACCTTGTGCCAAGCCAGCAAAGCCTTTACACTGGAGACTCTTGCCCATATTGGATGAGAAAAAGAAATGCTACATGCTGATTAATTTTTGACAGCAAAGGGGGTACTTAATTTCCTCGCCTTCCACCGCTGTGACCCGGGTTCGAATCCCAGCTGGGCCTTCATGTGGATCGGGTTTTCAGTCCCAACCTGATTCCGTGGGTGTTTAGTGGAATGCGATACCGGGATTTCCCTCCAGCCCCTTAAACTGTAATTTCTTAAAGTATTTCATGCGCTATCCCGCCAAAAGCCGGATATTAATAAAGAATAACTAGTGCTGGCAATTTAGTCCTGATCATTCAACTACCAGATGTTGTACGGGCAATACACAAAACAACATTATTAGTCAATAACAGTATACAAAAAGTACATAGACAAAATCAATACAATGCTAGAGGTTTATTAAACTAAAAAATCATGTGTAACCCACAGTAAGTGTTTTCCTGGTGAATATCAATACAGTGAAATAAAAGACATATTCCGAAGGTTGATTCTTTGTCATTTAAAATTAAGTAACAAACACGTTTGAGAAATGACTCAACATGATGCATAACATAAATAAATCTACTAATAGCACAACTAGTTACACAATTCACACAAACTAGTCTAACATCTACCTGAACAACACCTTAAAAAACTAAGCTACATGTAAGAAATAACCAACTGTACACTTACTTCTAAAAGACATGTTTAAGAGACGAATACGGTCCTCTCAAGCTATCAGGTGCCAAGACAAAGAAGCCCAAACCAATGTCCAGTTTTGAGGTAAGAGGCAAATTTAAAAGCCTACCATTGTTAGCTGATCATGCAATATGAGATTTTCATATAGGAAAAAATATGTTTGAGGGAGTGACGTTTCTTTACTTGCTATGTAAATTAATTCAGCCATTGAAAAAACAAAATTAACAACAAAAACTGGTGTATGATAACCATCATTAATGGACTTTTGTGATGGAGATATAATGTCACAATGAATATTTGCATATTCACCTTTACAGGAGGAAAAAGAAGTTCAGTTTAAAAGCTCAAAATACATTGCAGAACTATCCATGGATGTTTGCTAGTTTGACTATTTATTGAAAGAAATCCACGGAAGAGTTTTGAAGACTGGGTCTGCATTCTCATATGCCTCATCAAGATGTCACCTCTGAAGACCTCAGGGCTGGATATAACGTGGACGAGGGAGCTATGTAAGCCTGCATAAAAAAAAAGAAAGGAGAACAGGAAATAGATCTTTAAACATCTACATGTACTGAAAACTACACATAAATATTTCTCTTTCACACACTCCCTGACAGCGCAATTTTGGGCCAAGGTGAGGCAAAAACAAGTGTCTAGTGCTAACAGTGAGTCAGTCAGTAAAAAGTCACCAAAAAGTTGGAATATTTTATTATATGTGGGGGCTTATATCAGGTCGGTACAATGTAAGGTCTAAATCTGACAAACCAAAAATAGTGCGGTGTTTTGTGATTTAAACTGGCAAATGATGATGCCAACTCAAAAACACAATTTGTTTGTCTTACCGATTCTTGGAAAAGGTATATTTATAACAAATATAACTTTCCCATCCGTTCAACATTTCAACCCACAATGGATTAATGAACAATCTATATTTTTTTTAGTCCAAGAGTAACTTCCTCTTAGTTTTCCTCAAAAAAACATTTCATGGAAGGACATTTGTCCTCCATTGTGTACTTCGGCCATGACAACATTTTGCTTTATTCCATCGGTGACGGTATGAGTTTGCGACATGTACATCATACGCAACGCTGATCAGATAAACTCTGAAGTACCATCCAAGTCATGTACAGCTTCTGCCCAGCGAAGGCATGCAAGGGCCTCACCGAGCTGAAGTATGTGCCACTCATACTCCAACAACAGTCATTAATTCACACAAGTTTATATGTTCTTATTGTTCATGTCACAATGACGGAAGGGTCATACAAAAGCACAGAAAGGAACACTTGTAACAAGCTTAGGTACACATTGGAATCCCACACGAGTCATCAAGCAGACTCAAAAGAAACAAAAGAAGAGTGACACTTGGAGAATCCTGTATGGCATGTAAACTGTTTCAGATGTCAATCAGGCATGCCTGTACATTCTCAATAAAAAAGGTACTGTCAAAATGAATATCAGATGAAAATAAAAGTGCAAATCAGTTAATTTGAAAGGGTCAAAATTCAATATGAGAGCAGAGCAGAGCACAGAATTGCGTATCGAGTAAGTTTTACTAGTGAGACTAGCAGAGATGAAACTTTTCAGATTTTAATCTGAAATCAGATTTTTTTTAACTTTTCCAATGAAATTTCAGATTTTTTAACGATTCCACAAAAATTATTATTCAACGATTTTTCCACAAATTTTTTTTTTCATTATAATTTCCAAAAAAGGTCCATGAAAATTCGATGAAACGGCACGTAAACATGTGCACAAGTGTAAAACGCCTAGACAATCAGATCATTTTCCGGCTGGAGAAAAGGTTAAATACTGACCTATGACATGGAAAAATTCACTGGGTCTTACGTTGATGCGCTGCATTGTGGCAGCTCCAATCCAAGGTCCAATTTCAGATTTTTTTTGCCAAGGCCAGGTTCATCTCTGGACTAGAGCTCTGTAACAGCTGGAAGTGTATGTCTTCCAAGCACACTGACACCATGGAGCAAGGAAGAGACTCCGACATGGGTAACAGCACATGATAATGTCATCTCTAACACTAACACAATGTTTGCATGGCACTTTACCCGTGTAACTTCCAGTTGTGAACCAAGGTTTCCTAAACAGTGCATAATGCACTATATGAGTACATGTATGTCTGGTCACATCTGGAGGAAGCAGGCATCAAATGCTTCAGAACCACACACATATAAATGAGCAGAGTCTGCTCTTTTACCATACAACATATAATGTATGTGCTATGCAAAAATCTACTGCATGAAGTTTTGGCTGGTAATTTTTTTTTTGCTGAGAAAGTATTTTCTGTGTTCAGTAAATGTTGGTGATCAGCAGCTCTATGGCGACAGTGCAAAGTATAGGTAAACTGTCCAGAGAAAATACAAGCCCAAAATGATTTAGGAAGCTGTTGTGGGCCAATGAGTTCCTGTTCAACCATGTGCACCTTCTGCCTAGTCTGTATTACTAGATAATGCTCTTGCATGTACTTTCTTGCATTGAAATAAATCATTTCCCATTTGTGGAACATCATATAATGCAAGTCTGTCTGCCCTCCCTTGAGGGCCATAAAATCTACACCGGACCTCAAGCAGGAGCTGGCTAATGTGAGTTGTAGTGCACAGGTGCATATTCAACGTTTGTAAAAATAAAAACCCTAAAAAACCAGTGGACCTGTATTTTTTTTTGGCGGGGGGGGGGGGGGGGGCAGAGTTGGGTTGAGCAAAAAAAAAAAAAAAAAAACCTGATGTGGACAACAGATGTGGTACATTTCAAGTCAGTTCACTGAGCCTGCACAGTTCATGGACCTGACAATTGTAAGACAGACCCCATGAACCCCCTTTCTCCCAGCTTGGTGTGTCAACAGGGTTGCTAGGGGTGTGTCAAGTCATGATTTGGTGTGTCTTACAATTTATGGGGTGTGTCACTTTTCGTGCAACACAACCTGTTATAAAAATGGTGGGTCAAAAATGTAACAGCGTCAAAACTATACATTTGGTGCATCACTACTCTGACGCAGGGGGTGTATAGATTCCACAAAAAGATGGCCCACTGTTGGACAATGACACACCATTCCCGGGGGATATGGGGTGTGTCATACATTTGATAGGTTCGTTAAAAGTACCGCAGAAGCATTCCTCCCAAGTGGTCCAGCGTCTTTGCAGAACTGACCACAGTTACAATGTATTGACATCAACTGAACAAGTTTTCTCAACGCTTGTTCAAAGCTCAGAAAAGATATGGTGAAATGATGGCAAAACGTAATGAATACATGTATGTACATGGAATAAGTGCATCTTCCATGGCAGAAGCAAGACTTCAGTAACTGTTGAACAAATGAAAAGAAAAACTGAAGCAGGATTCGTACCAGCAACCTCAAATATACTGTACTGGTGTTCTACCAACCAATATTAGTCAATACTTGAACAGTCACCACACCCAGCCAACAGAATCCAATGATTGTTAAACACTCAGCAGTGCATGACAAGAAACCAAACAATATGAGTGGGAAGGAAAACATTGACATAAGGAGAAATTAAAATATTTACGATCTGATGAGTCAACATCAAAATATAACAGGGCTCTTACCAATGTGTAGTGTAACTATTTTTAAACTGAATGTACAGTGCACAGAAAGGTGCATGTACTGGTAGCTACATGCATGGCTGCAAAGAATGAGTCTGGCAGATCATGGGCAGATCAATCAAATGTCTCAACCACCTGTTGACATTTTGTCCTTCCCCTACCTTTCATTTTTATGAGCTGATTTATATCTGGAAAAACTGTTGGCATTTTGGTTTGGAAGCATGCTTCAGCCATGCATTACAATGCAGATTCCAGAATTGGAATGAAACAATGAAATACCGTGGGCTTTATTTATTTGGCTGCCCACGCAGTCTAGTATTGGTGTACAGGTTGTTTGTTAGCTGTGGGTAAGCTTCGTTATGGATCAAAGCTTCTCGCTCACCAAGCCATTTAACATGCTTATAATACAATAAGCAAAACAATATTGTGTCCAACTATCAATATGCAAGTAATGCAACTATTACAAACTGCTCTTTGAGCAATAAAATAAAGCAGAAGGGGAAAAAAACCATACCGGTACAGTTAAAAATAAAATACAGCAATAAAATATAGCAATATAATATTCTGAACCCAAATCAAAGAAATATTAAAATATGTAGCAATTTTCAAAACAAGTGTAAACGATCTGTGCTATAGGCTGGTAATTCCGTGTGCAGACTGGGAAATGAGCCACTTTAATGAAAATGGCATAACTCCTCAACACAGCCACTCATTTGAATAATTCAAAATTCCTGTGGAAGACAAGGTAATAACCATTCATATCAAACACTCAGGTAGGCTCAATATACTCTATTTGCCACTAAAGAAAAAAAAATTGTGAACTTGCGTACAAATCACTCTGACTCACCCTGTACTATAAAACTACCCACAATGGGCATCAAACTGCTTCCAATTGGAAATAAACCACAAAGGGCCTTGACCTACAAGTAAACATTTCGTGTACTTTTACATGTAACAGTTACCGGACTGTATTTGTTGCTTTTGATGTGCCCTTCACTGTTGGCAATAAAGTACTGAATCAGCCTGGAAGTGCATTTGGTGTGTAACCTACCCGCACTCTTGCAGAGCAATGATAAAAAAAAATCCGCCAAAAAACAGGTGTCCAATACTACAAGTTAGTAAACTTTTAACTAAAATGTATCAAATTTGACATCATCTGAATTAACGTTAACCCTACACGAAACTTGCCATTGACTTACTATTAAAATATCTATTGAAAATTCTTCTTCTTTACTTCAAGGGAATACACAGCATTTGCAAACATAAAAAAACACAAAAACTACCAAATCACGAAATACCTTACTGGACTGTTAGTGAATGATCCTCTAAAATCATGGCACCTAGTGTGTTGACATTTTCAAGAAAAGTGTTATTTTTGTATCAAGTGGTTGGCCAACCAGCATTGGAAAAAACTCCCTTTTTTAAATACTGCTCCAAATTTATCACATTTTCTTTGCAATCAATTACACACCGGTCGGTGAACGGGTACAAGCCAGCTATACTGGTTCCCTGACCTTACAATTCCCCAATGTCTATAAATGGCTCCGTTTCATCTGAAGTGGAGTCACTGGAACCAGACTACAAGAACACCGATTGTTTTTCTTGGTTTTTCCAGCATCTACAATGTATGAACACAAACGCAAACAAGTCAGTGCAACAATTTAGTTGCTATATAATATACTAACCCCCCCAAAAAATCCATCCATGTCTGAAAATTACAGGAAAAGCAAATGTTCTATATTCCCATTAAGAAATATGGTCAGTGGAATTGAAACATTACCAGTAGTCTAGATGATTGAATCTATCATTTCACAAGTGCCAAGAATTACAAAATAAGAGAAACAGGAGTAGGAAGTTGTGCACCTAAAGGGGACTCATGTAAAAAGGACAATACAACTGGAGGGAAACAAATGTGAAACAAACTGTGAGACGCAAAGAA